GGGCGGGCCGCGCAGCCGGTTACCGTCCCCTCCTAGTGACAGGCTGCTTGGGAGCGCTTCAGAAACATCCCGGGCCATGTTGGAAACAACGTTATGCCGAGCTTTGGTCTTTATCCTTCTAATTAGCGTGATGGGCTAATAAAATAGCGATGGTGGAAGGAGCCTCTGGAGGTTATCTAGCCCCGCCCAGTTCCTCAAAGGAGGCGTGTCTGATGAGTGCCTACCTGTTTAATTGCAAATGTGTTTGGGTCTCGTCTAAGGGTGGGTTTTTTAGAAAGCTTAATGGAAACTTTCTCATTATTTATAGCGTGCTGCACACCACGAGACCACTGCATACAACTCAGAAGTGTTTGGCTCCTTTGCCACCTCTGCCTGAGAAAGGAGGAGAAGTACGTTACGGTTTGATCCCTGAGGAGTTTTTCCAGTTTCTCTATCCTAAAACGGGAGTTACAGGTTAATACATACTTTCTTTTTTCAAGAATGTGTGTTTAGTTACACTGACTTAGTCCTGTCCATCACTTCTGGCTGCTGAAAAGGTAAAATATTAGGGAAAATTATTTTTTGCCCATGCAGAAGGAGGTTGCTAGGGGTGAGCCAGTGCAGCACATCTTGCATCTAAAGGTACGTGTCTGTGCCTTAAAGAAGGACTGAAAGAATGTCATGAGCTTGATCTTGCAGGAAGGTTTATTTGCCTGCTGACCCTCAAAATGTTTAAATGGAGTTTTTTGCCTGTTCCTGAAAGAGCAGAAACAGTAGGTCCCAGTCAGGGTGCAAGGTCACTTCCACTTCTGGTGCATGTCCTTGTGGCACCCTTCCCCTTCGTGGTACTGGGTTTCCACTTCTAGCCATGGTAAAAGAGAACACTTCCCGATTCTTGTAAGCCTTAAACTAGCTGCCTTGTAGGTGTTTGACTTTGCTGAGCCTCTTTGATGCCTTGTACAACTAATGCTGCTCTATCTTCTCTGCAGGGCCTTACATGTTGGGAACTGGACTCCTGCTTTACTTTCTCTCTAAGGAAATCTATGTCATTAACCACGAGACAGTTGCCGCCGCCTGCATTTTATCAGTCATCATTTATGCCATAAAAAAATACGGGTCCGATGTAGCAGCTTTTGCTGACAAACTTAATGAGGTAACAGAGAAACCATGGTCTTACTGTGTAGTAGTTAGTAACTGTTGTAAGTTAATGTGTAGTAGCTAGTAACTGTTCTAAGTTATCTGCTTAAATATTTAAAAGAATGCTGTGTCGGGGCTGACATTAAATCTGTAGTATCTTCAGAAATGGGGTATGGTAAGGTTTTCTGTCTTATGTTGGTATTGTTACATTAAATCTCCACAAATCAAGTGTGGCTGGCTGTGAACCCTGATTCTTCTGTCTCACCATCCAGTAACCTCACACCTGGCACAGCCCAGTTTCTGCAGACATTTCTCAAGTCTTAACGCAACTTTTCGGAATTTAAGTACACCACTTGTTCTTCTTGCGTCTTCCTTGCACTCTATAAAGCATGTTTTGGTTTTATTTTTTTTTTCTTCTTTCAGGAGAAAGTTGGTAAAGCCTTAGCTGTGAAAAACGAGGCAATGAAGGATCTTGAGACTGCCATTGAACACGAGAAGAAGGAGCAGTGGCGGACTGAAGGCCGCAGTTACCTCTTTGACGCTAAGCGGGTACGCAGTCCCAGCTCTGCCGTTCGCTTTCCCCGCAGCCTGTGCAGCGTAACTGGGGCGCTTCCTAAATGCTTAACGAGCAATGGACCGCTTACCTACCCCACGTGTTGCGGGCAGGACCAGTTCCACTGCCCCATCCTGCTGCTGCTGTTGAACTCTGCTCTTTGTATTCTTGCCAAACGTTAACCCTTTAGTTTCATGTTCTCTGTAGAATAACATTGCAATGTTGCTGGAGGCTAATTACCGAGAAAGATTACTGACGGTGTATAATGAAGTAAAGAAGAGGCTGGACTATCAGGTGGCTACACAGAATTTAAAGCGTCAGAAAGAACAAGATCACATGATTCAGTGGGTGGAGAAAAACGTTATTCAGAGCATCACGCCTCAGCAGGTACTCGCTTTTTTAATCTGCTTTCCACTTCAGTCTCTACACATGTCTTCTGTTCAGTGGTTCTGGCTGAAGCCGGAAAGTGAGGGGTCACCTTTGGGTGACTTCAGTGCATTCCTGGCGCTGAGTGGGTGCGGACCAGCCCAGTCGCTGGGTTCTAGCCGCTTGTGTTGCGGATAACTTGGAGCTGGAATTGTGTGAGGTGTTTGTTGTGGCAGCATAGAGCTCAGCTTGTGGTGAGGTGTAGAGCTCAGGGAGCTCGCTTGTGAAATTCTCTGTGATTGTCAGGAATGAAGCTGGGACAAAAAAGGAGATGTGTTCCTAGCACAGCGTGTGTTAATGCAGGTCATCGTGTGGTTTTGGGTCTCTGACTTCCTGAGCTGTAACTATGTCCCTTTTGGTCTGTAACTTCTTCTGTGGGTCTGAAAAGGAGTATCTAAAATGCATCAGAGTGCATGTTTTGCTTGTTTAAATGTCTGTCTTCTGAAAGCTGCTTTCTTTTCTTTTGCAGCAGCAGGAGAGTATTGCCAAGTGCATTTTGGACCTGAAGGCATTATCGAAGGGTGCCCAGGCAGCGGTGTAACAGTGTCCGATTCACTGATGCGTATCACTACTTGCTGTTGGAAGCTGTATGGTTCTAACTTGTCATTAAACAAACAAACAAACAAAACTCTGGTGTCTTTCACTAGCAACAGTAATTCCCTTTCCGATGGGTCACATAAACCGCTACAGCCCGTTTAGAACCGGGGGTGATTTGCAGTATGTGTGGTTCTTGTTTGGTCACGGGCGCTTCCAGAGATAAGACACGGAACCTGGCAGCGAAAAACCCCGGTGCTAATGCGGCGGTGGGGGCTTTCGTTTAGACTCCTGTGGGATCATGACCTGCCGTGACTGGAACCACATTACAAGGTCAGAAGGAGTGTCCGTGCGCCCGTTCACCCAGTCCAGTGGCTGGAGGTGCTCTGAGTGTGTGTGTTCAGGTTTGAAAAACGAGCTGAAAAAGCCACTCTCATTGCAAACCTTCAGATAGTGATGAAAGCGTCTTCCTGCTCTGTGGAAAAGAGGATGTAGCTGGCAGGAAGCATACTGAAAGCTACCGGGTAACGTAGCTTCCACCCAACTCGCTGCCATGAAGTTTAAAATGGAGAATGGCTGAGTTCCTTCTGGATTTTCATAGGAAAAAAGGATGCTTTTTCTTTCTCGTGTAACAAGGAAAGTAGTTTTGTGTGTATTCTAACACACAGCAAAAGCCCATTTGTTTTTATAGGAAGTTTTTTCCCTAAGGGATTTTGTTGCAGCTCGAGTGTCCCACCAAGCAAAGCGCTTCCCTGCCTGTAACCTCACCCGTTCTCTGCTGGGAAGCTGGCTGCTCAGCACATCAGTGAGCAGGCTCAGGTGTTCTTACTGGCCTCTTGGGGATGGACTGGTACTACAGTTTAGTAGGGTTAGTAAAATAGAGGTGTTTTACCCTTTGCCATACAACAGTCCAGAAAAAAGTGTTCCTTAGAGGTAAGAATCTTGCCTGGAAGTAAAAAAGTGAGCTGGAGCTGACTTCTTAAATCGACAGTTCCTGAGAATGCAGGTGTCTTTCATAGTTTCCTGTTTTTTTTAATTAAAAAAAAAAGAAGTTGCTCAACTTCCACATTTGTGTAACCCCACGTCTGAGTGACACTTGGGCTTTCACTAGTTTTGGCAGATTCTTTTTCACAAAGCCAAGTGGTTGAGCTGCTGCGCCGAGGCTTCGGGAGGCTTTTGGCAGCGGTTCCATGGTGCGAGGTAGGACCGAGCCGTGTCGTTTATGGTGGGTTTTATCACTGCGAACAGTGTGCTTTCAGAGTTGGGGTAGGAACCTGGGAGGGCTTTAACCTCCAGACTTGTGGGGCATGCAAGCTGTGACACTGACAGGGAAGAGGATGTCTGCTTTCACGTTGTCAGCAGCATCACCACGTGCAGTTTGCGGACCACGGGGTAAGATTCCACCCCCAAACTTGAGAAGAAAGTTACCCTTCCTGTTCTGGCAGAGTAAGTCATTGTAACTTGAGAAAGCAAAACCTAACGGGGCACTTGTAAAGCTCGCTCTGAGTATGAAAACGTTTGAGTTCGCTCGGTTCCAGCTGCTGCCAGAATAATGCCGTGGGCGCTGTTTAGGTATTCAACATCCTCCACCCTTGGGAGAGGAGGCAGCGTGTGCGTCGGGGTGTAGTGGCCGTGCGTGGAACGAGACGCTGGGAAGTAGGGTTTATGCTGAGTAGCTGCCGGCTTTGCTGCTGTGGCTTAGTGCCAGTTTGCGTAAGGTGTCTGGAAAATTGATAAAAACTAAACCAAGTCTGTGAGTTGGAAGGAGGCGACAGATTTGTTTTGCTCTTGTGGGTGCATTTATATAAATATAACTTGGTTCTTTTCCCTCCTTTGCTCCTTTTAGCTTCTCTTGCTGTCCGTTAGTGTTTGGAGAGAATGGGAGGTAGATCCTCAAAAAAACCCGCAGGTATTTCTTGTATTTCTTTAAAGAAGGAATTTGCTTAGGTGCAGCGTTGTTGGCATTGTGTGTGTGGGGGGAAGAACTGAGGGGCTGCCAAAGGCTGCTGTGGGGCAGGAATAATGTGAATAATGACACTTTTCTGTCATGTTTCCCCTTTCAGCCCTCTGACAGCAAAATGTTACCCTTAGAATAACGCGTCCTTGAGTAGTGTGCCTCTCTGCAGTTCTTGCTTGTAATGTTACTGGAGAAATGATGTTTTAAAACCAGGTTTTGATTTATTTTTTTAAATATTCCCTTTCAGTTACACCAGAACCCGTTCCCACGACTGTCACGGTACATACCACTGTACACACCACCGTACATACCACCACAGCTGACTTAAAAGCTTCAGAAGTCCAGTGCTGGATTGATAAGTAAATGCTCCACCTCTCTTTCCTGACTTCAAGCATCGAGTTCCCTGAGACTGCAGACTCCTCCCGAGGGAGAGGAGTTGTATGTAGTGCACTTTGCCTTGGGGCGCTCAGCGGTGGCTTGGGATTTCCTCGTCTGTGCGCTAGATCTGTAATTCGTGGTGATGCTTAGTGCAGATACGCACCTTCTAGTCTCGTGGGGCTTGGGACAAACAACGTGGTGTGTTTCATAAACCTGGGTGAATCTGAACACTACTGATTCTCAATGCCTCTGTTAAAACTGGGGCTTCTGACACTATTTTCTCTGTATCCACAGCTCTGAAGTACTCTACATGTCGCTGGCCTTTATCTCTGGCGTCCTGCTGGGTATTCTGGTTTTTGCAATCATCTACCTCATCAGAAAAAGTAAGTGGTACGGTGAGGGGGAAAACAGCAGCACGATGGCCAGAGCTGGTGGCAGGGAAGTGCTTAGCACCTTGTGCTGCGTGTCGTGCTTAGTTTCCGTGCTTTCGAGCTCCACCTTAAGCACCAGGGTTTCAGAAGAACTTCTGCAGAAGTTACTTTGAAAGAGGCTCAGATTATGTCTCCCTGGAATAATTAACGTATTGATGAGCAGGTTGTTTCTGACAGTAACTCCTCATGGATCATCCCGGGGCTGTTTTCATGGAAGAGTTGATGGTAGCACTCATGAGTTGTGGGTTTTGTTGGCTGTCTGCGTTTGGGGTTTTTTTCATCCTAACACTGTCCAGGCCGAGTTCTCACCAGCTTCATCAGTGGCTTTCCCCCTACTCCAGCCCCTTCGGGCAGGCGGGCTGCCAACGGCTCGCTCTGCAGCATGTTTCTTAGAGCCGTGTCGAAGCCGCGTGCTCTCTGTCGCCCCGCTCGAGCCTCTCGCGCTGCCGTCTCCGAGTGTGGTGCAGACAACTGAGGCTGGTGTCCCTCTCCTTCCTAGAGTGTAAGAGATCCCACCAACATTTAGAAGAGCAAGGTCCCTCCCAGACAGCAGCTGAGGAATCTGCTGAGAACACCCAGGTAAATATTATTCCTAATGCCTCATGCAGAGACTTCAGATTCTTGATAGAATGGTAGATAGTAATTTGGCAGGGGGGAGGAATGAGGCTTGGTCTTGCAAGACTAAAGTGTTAGTCAACATTTTGACTAAGGAGAAGTGCTTTCCTTTGTGCATCCAAGGCATCATCCTGCGTTTATAGTGGTCCAGGGAGTCACCTGAGGAGGTACCTGCACAGTAGGAGGAAAGAGATTCCTTCTCTGTTATCACAGGGCTTTACTCCCCACATATTTCAAGGATTCTGAGGCTTAACTAAAGCACTAATTAGACAGCTTAGGGGAAAAGCTTGTTAAAGAGCAAGCATTTCTGCCATTTCCTTTCATAATACTGAGTCTTCAGAAGCCCCTAATGCAGAGTTGACCCAGGATCCTGAGCTAGGCTAACAGCTGGTCTGATCCAGCACAGCGTTTACCAACTAGGGACAGATTCTGACCGCTTGTGCTGTGTAGTGTTGAGGACAGATTAAAAGCAGGAAATCCATGCTGGTGCTTGCATGCTCTGATGTTTGCGGCTTCTTTCACGTCCCCAGAGTGAGGTTGCCTACACCACTGTGGTCTTCCAGCGGAGCCGGACGCCAGTGGCTTCCTAGTGCAGTGAAGACACTTGAGCTTTCTGAACATCAAATGCTCCCAGAACATTGCAGCAAGCCCTGTGCTGCTCTGAGAAACACCAGCGCTGCTGTACGTAACACCAGCTCATTTTGTAGTTCTAAGGGGAAACTAATGTCTCCTGTGCCAAACTGCTTGCCATTGGTTGTGGACAAATTGCTTTTTATACCCTATTTCTTCACCTGTAGAAATCTCAGGGAGTCCTTACAATGCCCTTGTCAAGTTTCAACTTGCTTTGAACTGCCAAAGAGAACTGAAAAATGGAAATGTTACTCGGCGTCTATTCATGGCTGTGTTTTCCTTCCTGTAGCGTTTTTCTTGGGTTTTGACAGCCAAGTGCTCTGATCAGTTATTTTCTGCTTATTGAAGTTACGATGATGAAATGTTTATATGCGAAGGTCTGCTTCCTGGTTGGGTCACATAAAAGAAAGGCACAATCCCAGTGTGACAGTCAACGTCTCTGGAAATGTTTGTTCATCTGTTACTACCCGTAACCTTCTAAATACATTGTGAGAAGTTAAAAATTGTCCCCTTTTCATGAACTGGGGAGCAGATTGCCACTAATGCTTCAGTCTTAGCAGCCACAGAGAAGCTTCTCCTCATGTTCCCGTGCCCATGGACGGGAGGTTTGTCCGAGTACAGCGATCTCCGCCAACGCTTCTGCAGGGCTGAAATCTGAGCCGAGTTTCCTGCGCCTCAGCCCTCTGGGCTTCAGCAGCCTCCTTGTTTCTGATCACCAGAGTGCCACGGTTCTCGTGGGTATTCCTCTTTTCTGAAACTGCAGGTGTTTCCCTGTGTGCTGTTGTAAACACCGCTCCAGAGCAATCTCTGAGGCAGGACAAGTTGAGGTCGGAAAAGATTTTTAAGATCAGCAAGCCCAACTGCTAAGCCTGCTTCAGTCTCTTAAATCCCTCCTGGGATGATGACTCCACCACCTCCCTGGGCAGCCCCTTTCTTCTTGGAAAGGGCTGTCAGGCACTGGAATTTTCCCTAAAGAAATCTGAATCTCCCCTGGCA